TTACGAAACTGTTACGTAACATGTTTACGTAACGCGATGTAACATTTTTACTTATCGTTACGAATCAAATGTTTGTTATTTTTACGTAGCAAAGAGTAACATTTTTAACCTTGCAAGACGTAACATTGTAACGTGTGGTTTCTTAATATTTTATAATATTTTGCTTTTTATATGTATAAATAAATATCTTCATATTTTATATGTATTTTTATATGTATAAATAAATATCTTCACAAATAAGTATATGAAAATATATACAAGTATTTGAGAATCAATAAAAAAGTATGAATAAAATCAAACTTTGAAGTATTAATAGTAAATATAACAATAGTAATAAAAACGCTAATTAATCATTACAAATTACAAGTTATAAGATTTTTATTTTTTGTTTTCTTTATTATTATAAGTTATAAATACATTGTATACAAGTTATAAGTTTTTTTTTTTTTTTAAATATAAATGCATCAATAGAATTAACTAACTTGGTATTGTGGTTTATCCTCCTCCGGCTAATTATCATATAGAGGCCACATAACAATGGCCCGCAAAGATAAATCGGCTTCTCGAGAAGCGTCACAACCTACTCTACTGACGAGGCTAAGGTGATTTTGGGATGAACGAACGATTTTGGGAAGAACGAACTTCCCAAAATCGTTCTTTCTAGAATAGCCATAATTGACTCTTGTTCTGCAAGAAATATTTTTTTAGATTAATTTCTATATTTAAATCTGAGAGGCCTACAGTAACTAGTTGACGATGGTTTTGGATTGCTTCAGACAACCTGTTTTTTCTTGTCTTTGAAACAATATAGTTCTAGTGGAACAAAACAAGTTATGAAAAGCGATTCGTCAGGATTGATTTCAATCGTATTATCAGACTGTTGTTTATAAACAGATTGCCCTGTTGCACCATCAAAACCAGCTTTTTATATTAGAAGTAACCTAGTACAATCTTTGAGCACAGGTGAGTTTAATATAACACTATGAGCTGAACATAATCTTGCTGCCGCATGAAAAAGAAGATCTTGCAATGGTACCTCTGCAGAGAAGTCACTGACCTAAATGTTTTTAGGGTAGAATTTATTGTTAGCCTCTTTTATTATATGATATGATGGGTATAGAGAGTTAAATTGAAGAGCATTATTTATTAAATGCTGATAAGTATTTTTTGAATAAATTAGCATCTAAGATTAACGCTTATGGTTGTTGTCGCGTTTTTTATCAAATATGTATATTTTTATTTTGGAAATTTTAAAATAAATAATAAATATATAATATTGGTCATGTCTTAAACTTGTACAAGGTACAAGTTTATAATTTTGTATTTTATTTAGTTTTTATCGCTTTAAAATGAAAAATAACTAATAATGGTTTCAATGCGATCTAAATGTTTATTGAGCAAATACTATGCAGTATCTAGAAATCAAAAAAATAATAAATAATAAGCTATACTATTCTTTTTTTAACACAATCAAATATGGTAAGTTTTCCATAAAACAACAATGTATTTCTCAATGAAACCAGTGTATTCCTGCATTAATAAAAAAGTCTAAGAAAAAATATCCACTTGTTACGAATTTTTTACTGCTCAACAGAATTCAATTTTAAAATATATCGTTGGAGTGTATTTCTTTATAATTTCTCTCTGTACTGTAGTTTTCTTCAATATATAATCTCTTTAACGAACAAGTGGTTTGATTTTTATTTTATTTATTATTTACCAATCTTATATTTATTTATTATTGTGTTATTAATGTTACATTTTATGTTATTATTATATCTAATTATCATCTATGATTTGTACATACAATTTATATTTTTTTATAATATTCTTAATATTATTGGTACTTTATTATTATTTAGTATTATTACTATTATTATTACATATATCACATATATCATTATTATTTGTTTAACAATCTTTTCTTCTTTTCTCTCTTATTTATATATACAGATGTTGAGTTTTTCCTTTTGTTTTCTATTTGTTTTTGTTTTTTTTTTGTTTTTTTTGTTTGCTTTTGTTTCTTTTTTTTTTTTTTTATTTAGTTATTTATTTATTTTTTCGTGAAATTTTTATGTTTTTTAGGTGTCACTCCATTGACTAGTTTGTAACTATATGAGTGACACCTAATCAACTTATATTGATTTACGAAATTTGTAAATTTTATTGATATGGTTAAAAAAAAAATATATATATATATATATATATATATATATATATATATATATATATATATATATATATATATATATATATATATATATATATATATATATATAATAAAACCTAAGTCTATAAAAAAAGTTATTATGAAGTTAAACTGCAGTTTTTTTGATTTAATTCCTCTTAAATTTATTATTATTGATAATAATCTGCCCCGTTAATTAGACCTGGGTTAAAATTCATACCCAGCCTCCTTTTATTTCCACCCCTTGTATTAAGGACTCGAGAGTAACCAATTGAGAAGTAACGTAAATACAACCAATTGAGACGTAACATAACTTAAAGAAATTCTGCATTTAAGACGTATTTTAATTGCGCCTTTTTTTTACGTTACATGACATCTCGATTGGTTACACTTTTAAAACTTAAAAAAAAAAGCTAATTGATACGTAACGTAGCGAATTGGAACTTTATTTTTTTTTCGCGACAAAATAAACATTTGAGACGAAGCTATTTTACAATAATAAATAAAGAAAATATAATAATAAGCTATATGGAATTGATAAACATACATTCACTGCGTTATCAAATTTATTTAAATAATATTTAATTAAAAATGTATTTAAAGGTAAAACTAAATTTTAAAATATTTAAAGGTAAACTAAAATATTTAAAATATTTTAAAATATTTTAAAATATTTAAAGGTTCACTAAATTATTAAAATTAAAATATTGGATTTTTTTAGATTCAAGTCATATTCTTCAATATGGCGTCGTATTCCCGTATAACATTTTACTAGTTTCGTTACGTCTTAATTGGTTACAATCGGTAACAAGGTTACATTCTCTTATTTTTAATTAAATATTATTTAAACAAACTTGATAACGCAGTAAATGTTTGTTTATCATTGCCGTTATGATATGTTATCATTGTTATCATTGCCACTATGATTATCATTAAATTACCTTTAACACAGTTGTCTATTGGCATGATAGCTGATTTTGTTTTAGATTACATACATCGTGTCTGTTTAGGTGTCATGATAAAGTTATTACAGTCTTGGTTAAGGGTCCTTTGAAAAATAGATCATCTGCACAGCAAATCATGAAAATAAGTAAACATCAGAAGTTGTTACGTAGTTCTATACCAAATGACTTTATGCGTAAACCACATGCCCTCACTGAACTAGATCGTTGGAAGGCAACTGAATTTATTTTGTTCTTGTTGTATACTGGTCCATTAGTTCTTAAATACAATTTGCATACTACTTTGTTCACACACGAGTTTCAGAAAAAATGCTTACCTCTGTTTCTGATAAAGATACAAAAAATAATTACACTATGTGTAAATATGAGTACAACAATAGTCAAATAATATGGCCTGAGCTATTTAACGTTATTTAAAGAGTGAGTCCAATAATATAGCCTGAGCTGTTTAACGTCATTTAAAGAGTATTAAACTTCAATCATATATGTTTTCATTAACACAATATAATAACTGTGTTCTTTAAAGCATTATTAAAAAAGATTTAGATGTATATATAGTTGTAAAATTATTTTGAAACACAAACTCATTTTATGAATATCCTTCAGACTCAAAAGTGTTAAATACATTTAAATTGTAATAAGTTGAAGTTATAATTTCTAAATATAGCATAAATGATGTAGTTTTGAAATGTCTGAGTTTACCTATAAATGAAAGAACACCTCATTATGTTTTGTTAGAAAAATATTTAACTGATTAGTTGTTTTTATTCATACAGGGTGTATACTTAATTTCTGACCCCCTATATCTCGGTTTAAGAATACGGTATTTCAACACATACCATTTTATTACTGTCATATCAATTTAATTAGACAAAGAATATATGTTAATAGTCAGTAATCAGTATTTTGTCTATTTCTTTCTATGCATCGGGTAATTCTCCTTGGCAGGCTTTCTACTAGGCAAAAACGCTCTTCTTGCGTAATGGCAGCCCACTCCTGTTCAACACGTCTGATCAACTGTTCACGATTACGAGGTCGAGGATTGTGTGAAACACTGTCCTGGAGTCTTGACCAAATATGTTCGATGACATTTAAGTTGGGCGAGTCGCCAGGTCAGCTAAACTATAGTCATAATGCCAAAGGCCGTGGAAGACAAGGAGAATGAAAATATCATTTTTATGTATGTTGACAAAATGGCTCTCATAAACATTTTCTGAGGTCATATCCTATCTGAAGTGAGCGTTTTACGTGCAGAAAGTATAGTTACACCAAAATACATACTATAGTATTTTTTGGGCTAAAGTAGCATTTAAGAGAGCAACTCAAAATCTTGTGTTTGTAACATGTGGGGGTCAGAAATTAAGTATACACCCTGTATAACTGAATCAGGTTTTTTATTTATTATTTAATTATCATTTAATCTACAGATTTTTGTTAATATTTTAGATTATATTGTATTGTTTACTTTCTGGAAACTAATGAAGTGGAAATTGTTCCTAAAACATGGATTAAATGTACTGATGTTGATGAACATTTTGAATGTTATTGGCCACTTTATAAATCTTTGCAAAAAAATTTAAAAGCTGTTTAGACATGGATTGATGTTGAAACTGATAAATGGAAGAGTTTCAAATCAATAATTTTGAAACATGATATAATTTTACATCTTTTAATGCTGCAATTGTCAAAAAGATTTTATAACAATTCCAATATTTATAAAAATGTATTGCATAAGTTTAACAGCTTATGAGCAGTTATACCAATAAATCATGTGCTGTCATACTTACTAAACAAATACTTATTGTTTGAAGTATCGATATCATAACTGGTATGTCAGTTAAAATATAATATTGAACTTTATTTAAACGGTTTTAGATTCATATGCAAGTGCAGTAAAAGATATTACAAAAACGAAAGGAAAATCTGATTTGGGGACAGATGTTTCAGATATCGACAATGAAACAATGCAATATAAACGTAAACGAGCAAGGTATGTAAAAGTGTAATGATTTATTGTAATGATTAATGTAAAAGTGTAATGGTTTATTGATTTATCAAGATTACTTGTGACTCAACAAAAATTGTTTCAGAAATTGTTATAAGATATTTTTAATTTTGTTTATTGCTAAAAGCCTTTTTTTAGGAACTCATATTTGCCTTTATCAGACACTGATATATGCAGTACTCCAGAAATAAATTTTTGTTTGCAAAAGGGTAACTCACAACTAGCTGAACCGAAAACAAAAAAAGCCATAAAAAGTTAACAATATTGTAGGAAGATCTTCCTGAACCACCTGCTTTTTCAAGTTATAACACTCCAGAATATGTGACAAGCAGATCAAGTGGTCTATCTAGCATTCTGTTATCATTTTCTAAACCTTATAGAAAACCACTTTTAAAATAATTTCCATCATACTCTTCAGATGGATGGTTGTATTCAGCTGCAACACTATATATTCAGGTTTTAAAATGCTTACTTCATATAACAGATTATATATATACAGAGCCGGCGCAAGTAGGTGTTAGGAAAAAATCATTGGGGGAAGGGGGGTGTCACACCCCCTATCGCCGGCCTTGCTTATATATCACATTATAGATCACATATATAGATTACAGAATGTCAATGGTTATGTATTAATTTTTAATTTATGTTTTACAGTATTTTAAAAGTTATATTGAATTTTTATTTTATATAATATTTATAACAATAATATTTTTTTTGCCAATATATCCTGATTATTAAATTATTTAGCTCACTACTTCTAATACTACTACTGTAGAAGTGTTTAACCTAATAAGGATCATACTAAAGAAAGTAACATTAAAGGCAGACTGGTAAAGCCACATTTAAACATAATAGTTAATACAATAATTATTTATCAAATAAATAGTTTATATATTAATGAAAATATTAATTATTTTAATAATACTAGTTAAGATAATAATAAAAATAAATAAAATCGTGAAATATATGTATATGCAAATCTAATTCCATATTTTTATATATAAAATCGTATTTTATGTGTTATATAAATTACTTTTAAAGTAATATTTTCATTAATAAAATTTTTTGCTTAATGAAACTTGTTTTTTTAAAGCATTATGATAAGTTTATCCTATATCCTTTATTTACCATATAACCTTATACTACTTTATATAAACAAGATTTCTTGAATTGGTTTTGGGCTCAATGAAAATTAGATATATTCATCAGGATATATCTAATTGGGACAACATTATTAATACAGTACAATCTCTCCAATTCGAAATTTATGGGGAAAAATAAAAGTTTGAATTAGAGACATTTTCTAATTATAGAAAGTTGACTTTTTTTCAAATATTCTTTTCAAAGTAACGAATAGAAATCAAACAAACAAATAGTAATTCTTAGCCCTAAAAGCAATATATATTATGTGTTTTAAACTTTTAAATTTGAAAAAAAAAGTCAGTAATTGTAGATTGACATTTATGAGCTAGTAAATTTATGTAAAAGACACGATTCATATCTTTAAGAGCCTTTGTCAAATTATTTCCAAATTAGTTTTCTTTTTCTTAGATTAATCTAGCCATCCTTCAAAAACTTGAATTTTTGAAGCATATTTCTATCGCAAAATATTAGGCTTTTTATTATACCTTCAAGCCACTAATTGGTACACTATCAGCTCTCATTTGTTTGAACCATTTAAGTACAGCTTTGTTTACTAGGTAATACGAATCAACTTTCACCCGTTTAGTCAAATTTCCTTGTCAAAAAGCGTCAAAGATTTTATCTTTATTCTTTTTCCAATTTGAAAGAGTTTTTAGTGAAATATCAAAAATTTTCGAAACCTCTTTATTTGTTTTTCCTTCCCTCGATTTTATTAGAGTTTTCTTTATTTCCGCTTTAAATTGTTTTCTTTATGCCTCTTTGACTCCATGTCTCTTTGATTTCATGATTTTTTTTAAACAGTAGAAGATAATTTACACTAATCGTTTTTCAAAAACTCGCAACATTCGAAATTTGAAAAAAGATTTTGACGGTTTAATGAGCTTTTTAAACGTCAGAAGTTAAAAAAGTTCAAATTACTAAGAGAATGTTACTGATGAGTCTAAAAAATCCATCGAATTGTAGAGGTTTTCGAATTATAGAGATTCGAATTATAGAAAGTCAAACGTAAGAGTTTCTTAAGCACATTTCACGGTGACTTTGCATTTAATCGAGTTATGGAGGTTTTCGAATTAAGGAGATTCGAATAAGAGAGATTGTACTGTATTGTGCTAACGTAGTACCGGTAATCAAATCGCTGTGCCGACGACGTTTTCACACGAAGTCGGATAAAACTGTTCTTTTCCAACGCCATAATGATCAACGTTGGCAATCTAGTATTTTTCTGTACGTTAGTTTGACGTGGAACCGGCGATCAAATCGCAGGTATTCTGACGTCTTTTTTCGACGTTGGGCCAACCTTAACAAAGACGTATAAATGGTGTTAGCTGGACGTCGATGTGTTACCTGGGTTGTCACTCTTATATTTAAAAACTAATCATTGGAATGATACCTTTGTAAATTTAAAAAATTTTTAAAATCAATAAAAAAAGGATAATAGTATTTAAAAGAAGCAAGATAAATAACACAAAAAAGGAAAAAAAGAATGAGCTTATGAAATAAAATGACTTAAGAAATAAAATGAGATAAAACGTTTAACGATTAGCAGGATGATAGAAAAGAAAAAAGAAAAGAAAATTATTATAATTAACAAAACTATAAAAATAGTTTTTTTAAATATTATGATGAAATTAATGTATTTTAATTCGCAATGATTAAAGATAGCAATGATTAAAGATTGATAGAAACTAGTTATTTCTATTATTAACAATTGATTTTTTAATTATTGAAGAAATTCTTAGTTTTTATTGTTAAACAAAATGTAAAACAAATGTTATTTTAGCTAAAATAGAGTTTTTTAACTTTTTTTAAGTTGATGTCATCAGTAGCATTTTAATTGTAACCGCAATGTCACTATCTTACTTTATTTGTTTTCCAATTTTAATGTGACTGAATATTTTAGATTTTCCGACTTTTTCAACTTTTTTACATCAAACTAGTAAGATTTTACAAGGTAAATTTAGTAATTTTTGGAATTTGATTTTGAAGAAATTGTAAAGAAATTTATATATTTATTAATAAAAAAAAATTTAATTTTAAATTTAGCAACACTTGGATCTGGCTGCTTGACACCTGGCATCTAGCTGATTGGCTTCTGGCACCAAATTATTAAAAAAGCATGAAATTTGGTTATCATTATTAGAATGTAAAGCAAATTGATATTGGTTACGTTGCACATTGAATCTGTAATGTACAAACCTTAAAAGTAAAACCCTAAAATCAATTATTGCACGTAATGACGGTTTTTTAGAATTGATTACTTTATTGTATATTAAAAACCTATGTGTGTTTGTTTTTATTTTAGTATTTTAGACTCTAAATGGAAAAAAAAAAAAGAAAAAAAGAAAAGGCTGTATCTTTGGGTATTTATATTTAGCAAAACCAATAATTTTTTTTTTACATATACTTTTTAAAAGAGATTTTAAAAAATTTGTTTGAAAACAAGGAGTGTGGGTTACAGTTTGTCAATCGATATTTGTCTACAATAAACATCTGAAGAGTATCCTACAAAGGGCAGCATTGTTTAAAAGGAAATGCTTGTAATAAGATGCTTATAAACACAGACAGCTTTGAGCTGTTTTTTTAGGAGTCCAGTCTTGGAGATCTCTTATCCAAATACGTTAAGGTACTTAGAGATTTCGAAAAAATAGTTTATGGCTGTTTTGGAAAATCATCAAGCTCTACATATGTCAAAGATATGGAGCAGTTGTCTACGAGCTATAGAAATCCAGGGGCAACAATTCCTTTGAAAGTACACATAGTTGAGCAGAATATAATCAAATTCATCGACATGAAAGGTGGAGCCTTCGGTATGATAAATAAATTTTAAGTTTGACAAAATATTAAATCAATATTATTTAATTATAATAAAAGTAATTAAATACTTATTATTACAATACTACAACAGATTATACTTGCATAAACTATGACAATTATTCATTAAATAGACAAAAACTTATTTTATGCATTTTATATTCTATACGCTTAGGTTACTGGATCGAACAAGCTCTCGAATTCATTCACCAGGATTTCAATCAGTTTAGACGAATGAGAAAAATTAGAGAACACAGCTCAATCTATATTGAAGCGCTAAAAAACGCAGTTGTTGCTTACAATTACAAACACTTTTAAAGTAGCGTTGAAGCTCTAAAAAACGCAGCTTTCAATTTGCAGGTAGCTTGTAAAAAGTATAATACTAACCTCTTATGAATAATTGTTTAACATAATTTCTCAATATATGATATGATTATATATGGCATGCACTTTTAAAAACAAATGCCCGCCGGGTAGTGGATGGTTTCTTGATGGAATTTCAATTTTTTTGTTTTATATTAAAATAGATCAAAATTCATTGACAGATTTTAAGTTTCATCAAAAAACGATCTTTAGTTTAATAGTTACAACCATTCAAAGATATTTCAGGGGGTAAATGTGTGGAACCATTCAAAGATATTTCAGGGGGTAAATGTGTGGAACCATTCAAAGATATTTCAGGGGGTAAATGTGTGGAACCATTCAAAGATATTTCAGGGGGTAAATGTGTGGAACCATTCAAAGATATTTCAGGGAGTAAATGTGTGGAACCATTCAAAGATATTTCAGGGGATAAATGTGTGGAACCATTCAAAGATATTTCAGGGGGTAAATGTGTGGAATTTTAAACTTCTTATAGTCATAAATCTTAAACGAAAAGATATTTTTTGTTGAAACTTGAAATCTGTCGATAAATTTTGATCTAATTTATGATAGAACTTAAAAAAAAATTTAGGAGACGAGTTCTAGGAAGAGGGCAATTTATGGTCGGAACGAGGTTGGGTTAGCTCCTATTACCTAAACTTTTTGCAATTCATCCTCATTTGATACCAGTATTAACATATTAAAAATTTGGGTATGCCATATTGCTCTTAGTTACCTATCTTGAACAAAAAAATTGCCAGATACTCCCCAAATATACGTGATTACTCTCTAGGTCCCCACTGAAAAAAGTTGTTTTTTACATTTTTAAAATAAGAAAGAGTCTGCTAATAATAAACAAAAGAAAAATTTCTGGGGATGTGTTGCAAGGTCTCATAGCATCTTCCTATGCACCATGTTTTGTCTATTTACATGAAATCATTAATGTATAAAAAATATTTTATGTTATTTATGATGCAGTCATAAATCATCTTCAAATACGTTAAAAATACTTTCTATATTATATAAATGAATATAAACTTTTTGAACGTGACTGGTATGTAAAAGATAATGATGAGTTAACTGAGCTATAGTGAATTTACAAAGCAAATGTTTTGGCGATTGATTTAAACGACGGAATTAAACTTTTTCTGCTATTGGACAAATTAATAATAAAACTATAAACAAAATGCCTAAAATTATAAAAGAAAACAACATATCCAGTACATTTCGAAATATCGGAATATATTTGTAGTGATTTATTGTATGTTTATTCATCAACTCAAGATCTTTTGAATTTATTTTATTTGTTTTTTTTTTTTATATAAAATAATTTAGCTTATATTAACTTTTTCCTGTATAGATTTCAACTATACAGAAAATCATATTTGATAAATATAAATTTAAAGAAAAATTAGAAAAAATTAGTATAAATATTTTTATTTTGATAATAAATGATTTAAAAATTTTACAGCTGTTTTTGTTTCTGAAATCATGTTTATTAATTTAAATTCTAGGTTTTTCATTTTATTGCGCGAACGCAAACACATAATCATACTTACACACCAATTCACATAAACCCATTTATGGTTTTTGAAAATAGTATTTAACCATTTACCCCACAAACTTTTCTAAATAATAAAAAAAAAAAAAACCTGTCGCCATTATCACATTGAACTTCTTTCGTTTTATAGTTCATACAATGATTTCCAGAATGACACACACAATACATGTCACATTCAGTGTGATTATACAGAGTAACAACTTCAGTGTTAGTATGGTCATGTACAGACGTCACCGTCAATGTAATTATTTGCTGTGTACTAAAAAGGCATTTCCATAACATTGGATTTTGGCTATTTTTCTCAGTATAACCAGAACATTTATTAAGTACAACAAAATTGGGCATAAAAGATGTATTTTTTGCTATCTTTTCAATATGTGGTCGAAGTTTACATGAAACATCGTTATAATTGTCTTCAGTGTGAAATCCTTTTATAACTAAAATATATGTATATATATATATATATATATATATATATATATATATATATATAAATAAATATATAATCAACCCTCGGAATTAGGGTCGGTATTCGGCAATGCCGACCTAACTGCCAACCTGAAAGTGTTTGAGGTCGGCTCAAAATTGCCAAGCTCGTTCCTATGTTTTATGGTCAGACCTTTGTATGAAATAATTTTTGCCGACCTGATGCCAACCTCAAAAAGATTGAGGTTGGCACTAGGTTGGGCTCATCTTTCCTAATTCCGAGGTTTGATTATATATATATATATATATATATATATATATATATATATATATATATATATATATATATATATATATATATATATATATATATATATTTGATCCTTGCTATTTGAAATTTAAACATAATGAAATTCCAAAATAAATCAGCTCTATTTAAAAAAAGTTATATAATCACTAATCACTTTAAAAGAAGAAATTCAAAGCTGCCCCATGCAAATTCAAAACTGCACCAGGCTGGGGCAGGTTTGAACATTTTCGCGTAATTTACTAGAACGATAATACTGACTTAATTTTTGACTTACAATTTACACAAATAATTTCTTTCCTTAATGATTATTTTAACTGTTTAAAACAAAAAGGTTGTTAAAATATTTTTTTTTCGATTTATAGTAAAAAGTGTTCAAAGGTGCCTCCCTCTCCCCTAGTAGTGTCATACTCTTCAAACCATTAAAAAAGATTACAAAAATAAGCAGCTCAGGTGTATCTTAGAATTCTGAGGTAATTTGAGAAGTTGCTATAAATAGTATAGCACAAAGAACTCCAAATTTATTAAAAATGATATCTTTACTAAAACCTGAACTTTAATGGATTTAATTTTAATGGGAATGTCAATTATTCAGTAGCTTTTTTTATTATTGTTATTCACGTTTTCACTTTTTTATAATTCACGTTTTTGAAAACTTATTTCAAAGGATTAGTTAAAACACAACAAGTAAATCAACAACAAAAGTTTCTTAGAAAGATTAAATCAGTGAAAGGTTAATCCTTCTCATTAAAAGGCTACATGACCGCGATGAACCATCACCGGTCACTAGTTGCACCAGTGATGAATTATCTTGACTTTGCAAGAGAAAGTAATGTAAAACGATCAAATCAATTTCTCTAAAAAATATGCACACATATGATGATGTGAAAAAGAAAGGTCCAATTGTAAATTAAATTAGTTTTAAAATGAAGCTGTTTGCATAAATTGGACAACAAAACCTTACAAGTAATGGTCAGCTTGCACAAAAAATTATTCTAACAGAAATTATTTTTTACCGGTGGCAAAGTACATAGTGAATGGCTATTTTTGAAATCATGTATAATTTATGATGGATCCTCAATCATTTGCTATCATCAAACGGTAAAAATGTTTTTATCATAACCTGCCAACTTAGATTTTAAGTATCAAATATGTCAATCTTTTTTTTTTAAACAAAAAATCTAAAAAAAAGTTTTCCGTTTTCGCTTCCATTTTTATACAATTCTCGTTACAATCTGGTATTCGGTATTTGTCCGAATAGTTTGAAATATTCGACCGAATACTGAAAAATAAAAAAGTGGCCAAATAGACCGTATACTGAATAGTCAACGAGTATTCGTGCCGTCCTATGTTATTTTATGGCTTCCATATCTACTCCTACAGCTTAAACAAGTACAGTTGTAACTCTCTGTAGAACCATGGGATAGATATAATCAACATTTGCCATTAAAGCAACATTTCCTGAATATATCTTTACAATTGTTGTCTTGAGTTGACGTACTGTTTTTAGATTCAGCATAAAGCGTAGGGGAGGGAAAGGAGAAAGCTGCCATCCCGCGCTCTCTTAACCGGTCAACTGGCGCCTCCTAAACTTTTAGTCTCTAATTACAAAATTCTGCGTTTATTTCTAACAAAAATTGAAAACTCATTAACAAGAAACCACCGCTTACATACCTGCTTTACAAATTTGCTCGAATTATTTAAAAAAAAACAAAGAGGAGACGTTTTGTTTACGGAAAATATATCTTATCGTCATAATTATGACGATAAGATATATCTTTATATTTTCCGTAACTATATAATCAGTATCTTTATTAAATGTCCCGGTACCGGTCAGAATCAGCGTATTGTAGTTAATATATTGTAAACTCTATTAAATCAATATTTATTATTACCTTATTTCAGCGTATTGTAGTAAACATATTATCAATTTTTTTGAGTCAATATTTATTATTACAATATTTCACTATTTATAGTTTGAGGGTAAAGTAATGCAATAGTCCAGCCAAGTGGCTGCTGAAAGCAGCACATAACTGAGACCGGAAGAAGAACTACTAAAAAAAAATATTAGGCTTTTAATTTCTTAAATTGAGAAAAATATAAATTACACCATACAGATTCTGACACGGTTTAAAAAGTCAGATTACTTTCTCGGTATACTTAGAGTTGAGAGGACAAAAATGATAATTTCTTAGACCATTTTGATCATTGTAAAATTGAAAGTCTTAGAATTTGGTTTTATTAGATCTTGAGTTGTCACTTTGTATAAAATCTTTTAGTTTTGGAATTCTTACCCAAAAAAGTATTTATTCTGGCATTCTTTAACCATTTAGAATTTTTTTCTCAAGGTTTTTGAGATTTTTTCTAATATTTACATTGTTAACAAATGAAAATTCTGCTTTAATCCATCGATGTTTTATTTTAGTCATGGTACATTCACATTTAGCTTGTTGATATCTATCAACCTTTACGTTTGACTTTAAAGAGTAGTATAGAATATCGATATTTTTTGTAATTCTACTCGGTTCCATATCCGTTCGAAGTCGAGTTCCTATATAATTTAATTTTTTAATAAAATATTATAACCAATAACAACAGTATAAGTTAACATTAAGTATAGTATAAATTAACTTTAAGCTAACATTTGTATCCTACAAACTATAATGGTTTTATGAAATGGTGTCGATATAGGGATAAAATATGCATAATTCAGCATGACTTTTTTAAGGTAACTAAAAAAAACCTTGAAAATCTATATAAATCCTAATTTTTTTGTTATCATACAACAACGCATACCTGAAATAGCAGGCTTAGCTTATAATAATATCTTGGTAATCTTTATTGAAAGTCTTCTCAGAAGATCTCAAACCAATTTTTGAACAAAATCTTGGATTTCTGTCAACTCATGATAATACTCAAACGCTTAAAATTTTTCAATTTATATTTGTTAAAAAGTTAAAAAATGTTTTAAAATTTAAAGCAATGTACAAACTTTATGTAGCAATTCATAGACTTTATGTAGCAATTCACAGACTTTTAACTTATAAAAATACATTTACATTCTTTTAAATTCATACGCAAATTATGTGAGAAATTAGTATAAATGTAGTAGTTAGTCATTAATTTTCTTTTGAGAAGGAAAAGGTGGGAGAAGTAGGTTAAGGACCCTAACCTCTTCTTCCAGTAGTTGATTGAAGTAGCAGCAAGGAACACATTTTAATTTTGTATATAAAAGTGTGTATATAATTTTTATCTGCAGATGATGCATATGTTTTGCTGCCATGGTTGGGGTCAAATTCATTTGATTAATTACAGATACAAAAACGTTAATTCTAGAGTTTCAAATACAAATTCAAATACAAATAACTGTACTTTTTAAGGCAAGATTGATAAAATCGAATACTAAATAGTAGAATGAAGACGTGTCTTCTAATAAATATTCAATAAAAACAAAGTTCAAACAAATTTTATTTTAAAATTAAAAATAAAATTAAAGAAAACGAACCTCCTGATTTTCCAAAAAAAAATACTGATTAACCTAGTTTATGAAATTACAAATTCATGTAAATCAAATTATTTTAAAATGCTTTTTTACCAAATACAATACAAATACTAATACGTCAATTTAGCCTATTTTTACCAAATACAAATTCAAATACAAATACGTATTTGACCCTTTTGATTTATTTTTTGTTTTATTTGTTTACTTAATTATGTCGCCCTATTGACTAGTTTTTAACTATATGAATGACACCGAACGTAATTTTGTAATTATAATAAACTTTGTAATTTTAATTTTATAGTTAAATAAATAAATTATATAAACTAATATTTGCTATCTTTGAGAGTGTACTAGTACTTTATCGACGTTATCATTTTGATTGCGTGCTGTTGTACTTTCTCCTGCGTTTTAATGTCATTCTTTAGAAAAAGAGACCAAAATTGAACTGCGAACTCAAGATGCGGTTGTATGAAGTTGGATACACTAAGCGCCATACGACGAGATCCTGACTTTAAAGTACTTTTTTCAGCAAACCAAAGACCTGATTTGCTGTTGCGGCTGTCGTCTCGACTTGATTTTAAATGTTTTTTTTGCGGTCTTAGTAATTGCGAGTTTTTTTCGAGCTCCGTCATTGCTACAGATTGAATACTTTTATGCTTTTGTGGCCACTGTAAATAACTATGCATTATGCCGCGTTGAAAGAAGTGCGACATATTTATGACCATGCCACAGCTTTGATTAGATCGTCTAGCAAGGTTGGCTAGTCTTTATGAGATTCAAAGATGCCTGTGATTTGCTATCATTCGTATATAATTTGATATAATGCACAATCAAAAGATGGGATGAAAAGGACAAAAATAATAGTGTTTCTAAAATCGGTCTTTGCAAAACTTCTCTTGGGACCGGTATCCAAATTGTTATATATTCATTTACGAAAACCTATTTCAAAATCCAAGAAAATTTTTTTTAACAATCGAGTAATGTCATATTATCTTATTAACAAGTTGCTTTTAAAAATTCTTTTATGTTGCTCAGCACAGCTTCGTACATAAATGCGGCTGCATAACCAATCTACTGGAGACACGTGACATACTGACATTTACCTAGGTTACGCTGCCAGCGTGATTTGTACGTATTTTGCCAAAGCATTTAAAACCGCTTCAAATTGCCAACTGTTATTGGCTATCTGAAAGTTACACTTC